CAGGAATGCACTTTGCCGTGGAATTACGTAGACTATTTCATAACATTTTCAGTAAAGAGCTCTGCAGTTGTATCCTCTTTTTCCTAGAAATTCATAAAAGCTATTTGAAACTCTGAATAAACCTGCCTGTTCCATCATTACGTGCTATTACAGAAAGCAACCTTAGCTCTGCCCGCAGTTGCCAGCTGCCTGAGCATTATCCAGCGATGCTGGCCCCGTGCTGGGACATACAGCCCAGAGCTCCCAGCAGCACCCGAGATGCTCAATGGGAAAATTATGCAGGGCTGGAGTGGATCCACTTTCCCCATCCCCATCATTTAAGCAGTGCCAGGGATCATTCCCAGGCATCGAAACTTGCTCAGCGATAGTGTTAAAAAGCAGATGTTTTCTCTGGACAAGTTTATTTTAAGGAGCTCCTTTCCCATGCTGTATCTCACAGCTTTTGGTCTCAGTCCTGCTGCAGACTCTTCCCAGGCAACTTCCACTGAAACAAATAGGAAATGGGAAATTCCCCTTGTCTTCAGCCTGAAACTTCAGGTCTTTCAATAACGCATTCTCATCATATACATATAAATATATAAATACCTCGTGTGGGAGCTGCCTCCACAAGTCATGCATCTGGCAGGAATCTCCTGTGCCTAAAAAGGGGGGAAAAAAAAAGGGAATAATTACAGCAGGGGGGAAAAATCCCCCTTTGCCATCAAAAAAAAATTCCCCCTTTGACATCAAAGGAAGTCCCGTAATGGGAGGATTAATTTGAAGGTTTAGTGGCATTTAGCAGGGTAAAAGTAAGTTCTGTGAAGTGAATCAGCATGGGATGTTGCAGAATGTGCGGGGAAGAGTGGGAAGCTTTGCCTGGGCTGCAAGCCGCCTTGCTGGCACAGGGGCAGCCTTTTCCTAGGCTCCCCCCAGCACAGCCGGCCCCGTGCCACCTCCTCCCATCCCACCCAAACCCTGCAGGAGAGGAGGACTGGAGGGGCTGAGGCTGCCCCATGCCAATTAATGGGGGTGAGGGAAACTGCTTAGTTGAAAATGATGCAAAAAACTGCAGTGCTTGGACGCTGGGTGTTTTTAATGCTAACGGCTCTACTAGTTGCATGGATTGAGCAGTTGGGAAGAAAATGGTGGTGGGGTCCAGGGGAGCTCTGACGCTTCCTGAAGCCACCATTCACCCTCCTTTAAAAGCCAAACAGGCCAGCAAAATACCTCTTATTTAAGCAACAACACAGCCTTGTCCTCGGGAATAACCTTGCCCCAAAGGATGGCTTTGCACCGGGGGGCTGGTGCAGCAAGTCACTGGTGGTGCCGGTGAGAAACCCGCCCCGATCCCATTTGACCCCGTGATCAGCTGCCCCTGCCGTGATGCGCACGTTATACTCGTCGGACTCCACCGCCTTTAATAGCTGCCTCCCCAAAACTTGCAGTTCTCGGCCAGGGATGGCTGCCCAGTTGTAATTTAGCTCTTAATCATAGCTTGAGACACCGTGCCATGGAGGAGAGGCCTGAAATTGCACCCAGCTCTGCATCCAAGCGAGAGGTTGCAGATCTGGCTTGCTGGCCAAGACCAGAGCAGGGTGGGGGCAGGAGACCGAGGGGCTGGACCCAGACCCTTGGATGGGGAGCACCGGGGCGAGGGGTGCTGGGCTTGCAGCCCACCAAAGCCCTGGTGTGTTTTGCAAGCAAATACATCCCCACACTCCCGTCTCAAAGCAGCCAGATGGGTACGGGGTCCAGCCTTGCTGCAGGAAGGCAGCAGACGATGCCCATGCAGGGTGAAAAGGGGTTTAATTCTCAAACATCCTTGAGGATACCCCTATGGGGTGAGGGTGCTGCTTCTCCCCCAGCCAAAACCAGATGTTTTTCAGGCAGGACCCTACAAAACCTCTCTGGGATTTCTGGAGCAGAAGAGCAGCAGGAAAATCCTGTTTCGCACCCAGAGCCGAGGCATTGGGAGCACAAACAGGCTTGCAGGGCGGCCACGCTCCCGCAGAGGGCAATACGTGGCCGCCCCTGGCAGCCCAGGTGCCTGGGATGCAGGGATGAACCTGGCCTTGTGGGCATGCCGTGTCCCACCGCCTGCTCTGGGACCACGGCATCCCTGGCTGCTCCCACAGCCAGGGCTTTCACTCCCACTTTGGTCCCATAATAAGTGCTCAGGCTCTGCTTGCTCCTCCTTAGGTCTCCATCTGAGAGGGAGGGTCATCTTTGATGGAAACATGGAAAGCACAGGGAGGAAAGTCATGCAGAAAGGTGGTACCTCCTTGTCCAACACTTTGATGGGCAGGTGCAAGCGCTGGCAGCTTGACATGTTCCTGGCATTAACAATGTATTACTTCTGCACCTTCCAGAGCTGTTCAGGGCAGGCTTGTGAAATAATTCATCTCATATATCAATCGCTCACACTTTTCCCCAGGAAAAATTCCAGTTTCAGACTACTGACCGCGAGCAGATCCCACGCACACATGCTAGGAGACAGAGTTGCCCACGAGCCAGTGGCCAGCCTCTGCAGGGACCCCAGGTCTTGCCAGGGACGTTCCCCTGCAGGTTGGGACACCCTTCACGCTGAAGGACATGGCTGGGACATGCTCCTAACCCCTAAGTACCTCAAGTAGGACGCATTGCACTGGGATGGATATGCAACGTGTTGGGATGGAAATGCAATGTATTGGGGTAGAGGAATAAGGTTCCCCATGGTTCAGCTGGAGGCTTCTACCCAAAAGCTCACATGTGCTGAAACATCGTGCTGTCCTGTAGCCATTTGTTGGTGTTTCCAACATAGGATTGGGGTGCTTGTTCCAGCGTGGGTTGGTATCTGCCTGGCTACACGTGGGGTCTATCCTTTAAGCCGTCTGCCTCTGAGCTAGCAGTCGTCTGGTGCTGCACCCTGTGGAGACATCAGCAGCAGAGCCACAGTGTGGTTCATTGCTCCAACCATCAACAGTGCCATTAAGAGCGCTATTAATTAAAGGGGGACATGGGATGACTGGCTGGCTGCAGTGCTGGCCGAGCTAAAATTTGGGGGGATAATACAAATCCCCAGCAGGCTGTGGATGAGGATGCTATTTCCCACAAGCAGAGTAGTCCAGGCTTCCCCTGTGCTTTGCCACGATGTCCATCCCCATCTTCCAACTCTTGGCTGCCTACCCCATCCTTCCCACCCAAGGAACTGATTTTGGGGCATTTCCTCCGTTGATCGGGGTGTCACGTCCTTCCGCTCCAGCGTTACCTTTATGGGCTGGGAGGAGGAGTCGGTAGTGCAGTGAATTATAAGCCAATTCTTTAAAAGAGTGTTCTGAAGGTTTGGGAGTTGAATTATTATTTATAATGCCCTGGGGACACCGTGTAATTTATGGACAGGTATGAAGACAAGTAGGCGCTCAGACATGGGGATGAGCCCAGCGTAAATGCCGAGATAGAAAGATAGATAGATGGATAGATGAAGATAAGCTTCTTGGCCTGGAGAGCTGGAGATTGAAAAGCCTGCTCTTATAGATCTCTGCTGTCCTGGGGTAATACCTACTATCCCAGTACTCCCACTCCATATAAAGTCATCTCAAATCTGGTGCAAACGGTTTGTTTACTCTTTTTTAAAATTAATTTATCCCAAGTGCAAGAAAAAAAAAAAAAGGAGTTGCTTTGTTGTTGCAATTTGCTGCTAGGCATTCTTATGTGTGCTAATGATAAGTATTAATTAAATAGCTTGCTGTTGTCTTTTAAATGCAGTTCTTTCAGGCTGTAATTAAACACAGACACCCAGCCCTTTCTGTCTGCATAGAAAGAGGCAGGCAGGCCTCCGGAGCTCTGCACTTCTTTCCTTGTAGCAGGAGAGAAGTGGAAAATGAGGCAAAACCAGTTTCCATTGAAAACTCACCACCCTATGCATGTCCTTCACGGGGAAAGCAACCAGCTCAAGGAAATTAAAGGAATGCGACTTCCAAGATCCCAGCCCTGCAATCAAAGTAAGTTTATATGCCCTTAAGATTTTGCAGCTTCATACATTTTAAAGGCAGAGATCACTCTGTTTGATCTCCGGTGCAACACAGGCTGGTGAACATCACTGCCATGTTCATCAAGCCCAGCAACTTGTTGGCTTATGAACATCTTGATCTGAAGATCTAGAGATAGGAGTCCGTCCCTCTCACTCGCTTCTTCGTTTCCCCAGGTTTTTTCACCCTTACTCTGAAAAACCAGGCACTGCTGTAAATCCCCGTTCCTATGCTGTTCCCGTGGTCAATATTAATCTCCCAACACAGGGTCCACTTCTGGGAAAACCTGAGCTCCCACCAGCCCTGCTGCTCTCTTGCCTCACCGGCTTCAGATAGAAACTCAGCACTAAAGCCCTCTAGAAATGCAAGTAAAAAAGTCAGATGCTCATGTAATGGAAGGCAACCCCCAAATAAAATTTGCCGTATGCCGAACGGCACCTACACCCAACGCTATTCCTGCCCTCAGAGGCGACTGGGCTTCACTTATCTACAGTGCTGCTGTGGATCAATAAATGCATGAAGTGACACTGGCCTTCTGCTGTATCACTTATAGGGGTGGTGGGGGAAGATGCAGCTCACTTGGAGGATGCCCTGGATCAGAGCTGGGCCATGAGAGACACGTTTCTCTCCCACAGCCGCTGCGGGGAGCGTGGGAGGGAGGAGAGGAGGCGCAGGGGGAACGGAGCCAGTTCCTGCCGGTCACCCCAAATCCACACCCCAGCCTGTAGCTGGACCCACGCCTGGCCAGACAGTGACAGTGAAGAGCTGTGCTGCGGTGAAGACAGTGGGAAGTGTGTTCAGCAGCTGCTCATACATATTTTTTTGAATGGAAATATTTAAGGATGTATTTGTGTAATTTATAATCTGAGATCTGTAGATATGTATAATAAATATACAGAGAATATAAGACAGCTGCTTTAGGGGAAGC